TTATAATACACACATATATAACCCCAGCACTAAAAACAATGAGCTGTTTGCTGAAGACAGTCAGTTTGGAGCTTGTGTATGTCGTGTGTTTATGTGTGGTTGAATGTTTCCGTGTGTGTGTGTGTGTGTGTGTGTGTGTGTGTGTTCACTGAGCTAGAACAGGGAGCATTAGGAGGTGTCTTTTGTTGCTCCTGGGGGGCTACTGTGCTCAGTCCTAATAGGAGTCTTGTGCCTGCCGTTGTCCCAGGGGAGGGCTTCTAAATGAGGGGGTCTAACTTCACACCCCCCACCCCCCACCCCTTCCTCCTCCATCCCCAGCTCGAGCCGGCCTCCCCCACCACCCGCTACCGTCCCTCGGGACTGACCGAGAGACAAAGAGGGAGTGGGGCTGGGGTGGGATGGGATGTTTGAGGGGGTGCACTGTGGCCCCTGTCTTATTAGAAGGGTCGTGAACGTGTCACGATGATTAATATGCCGAGGTGCGTGGGGATACCCTAGAGTCACATTTATTCAACATGAAGGCTCCCAAACACACACTCACCACAAAATAGCATTTGCATTTCCCATTAAGAAAAGAAAATATAGATATATATGCAAATTAAACTCCTATCTAGGTTTATACCATTATGCATTATCCATTTGGACATTAACAATAAGTGACCATTTCTCTCCACACCATTTTAACTTAGGTTGTTTTTAAATTCAGATCTCACATCATTCACTGTAAAGCAAATTTAGCATTTTATTTACTTTTTAGAACATTAAATCATTTTGATATAAAGATACAGAACAGTTCTTGGTTCATAATTCTTAAACTAACATAATAAGCTTTCGTATGTATTTTGTCCTGTTATGATCATTGGGTTATAATTGCAGTAAATAGTGAGGTTGCACTATAGCATAAAGAGCAGCAGCACCAAAATCAGAATCTTCACCAAAAAAGTAGAAACCTTTGCCTATTCTTTTTTCTGTATGTCTTGTGGAAATCAAAGATATACAAACAGCCATTTGACTGACTAAGAATCGACCATTTGTACCATACTGCCAACATTTAAGCACCCTCGCTGGTAACACGTGTTAACTATTCATTGTATAACTACACTTTAACTCCCTCTCTCCATCTGTTTTCAACAGTTTAACTGGCTCATTCTCCTGTAGCATTACTGCATTTGGTTATTAAAAGCATTTAATGTTTAAACAGGCTACGGTCATATTAAAATGGACAGATGGCATGGTGACTAAACCCTTATATTCTATATGTCTCCCCTAACATACACGTATAGGAGACTCTGGGCTAACTATGGGACACAGGTACCCAGGGAGTCCACCAGATGTTTGATAGGCTCACCTGCAGGCCCGCTGCGTGCTGGCAGTAAAATTCATGCACTGCATATGCTGCAATTATACCACAGGGAAATAAGCTGCTGTAATAATGAAGTAGGCTGGAAACATGAGGAAGAAAAGCAAACAAGCCTGTTTCCTTTGGAAAAACACAGCCTCTGTCCATGCTTACTGGGGTTTCACTTGGTTTTATACTTTTTAAAGTAAAATAAGAAGTGTTATTACTGTATACGGACTAGTTTCTATCTTCATCTTCAGTTTGGCTGAGGAGAGAGCTGCCATTAATCCAGTAGGTGGTGCTGAATGCAAAATCAGAATCCATATCCTCACTGCAGGATAGAAATCAGAGTGTTAAAACCCTGAACTATAACTGAGCAAATTGTTCAGGAAATTAAGCCATAAAAACAGCCATGCAGTTGCAGTAAAATTGTAAGCTCTTCCAACAGCTATGTGTTATGGCAGCAGGAGCAAAGTTAGTTCAGGTAGAGGGATTAAATGTCCCGTTATTTTTCTGATCTTTACAAGCTAGCTTTGCTCGTTTTGCACAAGTGGAAGCTCTGCCAAGATGTGGGCTGTAATTAAGCTGCAGGCATTTGTCCTCCACAGTTTGCCTCTTTACTTGCGCACTTACAGGATCTATAAAGGCACAAATTGATTTCACCTATCAATGCAGTCATTGTTTAACATGACGTAGCTCATATGTCGTGCATGTGTGTTTAATAACCGGGGTCCTAGCTGGATCACGGTGCACAGGCTCTGCTTCTCAGATTACACCTTCTCAAGAAAGGCCTCTGCTCCAGAAACGAAACCGCTTCAGCTTCGCAGTGCTTGCTGGCTTGTTTATTTGTTTTTGTTTTGTTTCCAAGAACTCAACAAAAGCGATGAAATGAATGAATGAAGTGTTTGCAAAGGAAGAGCTGTTGTGTGTCGATCCCCATCTGCAGCGATTAAAAACAACAAAAAGTAGTAATCACAAGTAAACCCCAAGCAAACTGCAGAATCATTCATTCCCAGTTTTGTGCTGATGAGCAAACACAACACCACCAATGTTAATTGCTGTGACCCCAGAAACCCACCAAAAGGAACATTGACATATTGTTTGTCCAGCGTGAGACACTGTATAATATACACTCACTAATGACTGTCCCTGGAAATACAGGCTGAAGGACCACGTCTGTCCCTGGCTTGGCCCTTATTCAATTTTCGCCCTGGACTCGTCTAATGGATAGTCCATCTGTACCTCAGTGAATTCATATCCCTCAATGCATGCCCATAATTCAATTACAACACTTGTTTAGTGTAAAAGAAAAACAAAACAAAAAACAGCCTGGTGCAGTGTTCTCTCCTGGTCAATTTGAGGTTTGATAAACAATTCACTATTGGCTGGAGAATCTCCACCCTAATCAAAACAAAAACAAACTGTGGCTGATTCAGCGCTGTTGTGTCTCTGAGATTTTAAATGATTCTCTGGTTTTTGAAATAAAAAGGCGTGTTGTGAAGAAAGACATATTACCATTGCCATAGGGTCGACCTTGACCTTCAAACTCAATCTGGCTATTAGGGCAGCCCCTCCCCAGCACCCCTGAGATGTAAGGAGGCTGACGGTTTTGACCCCTGATCCCATTTCTTAACTAGGCTGAGGTGCCAAATAACCTTTTGACCCAGGAAGCATTTTCAGGTTGCCTGAGCAACCTCAGATTTAGCAATGATTGACAGATGCATACATTTTTTTTTTTTATCAGCTTTTTTCAAATGGAGGAACAACAACACTCCTCTGCAAGACGAATGACAGAAAACGACGGTTTATTTGCTAAAAATGTAGAGTTGTGATGTGTCAAATATGCTCAGAGAAAATGTGCAGATTAGATATTCTATTGTACTCAGTTGGCACATTATTATGCCAGATAGATGCAGAATAAATTTCCCTTAATAAATGAACGCTTTACATGGAAATGAATGTATGAATGCAATGGATGGATGTCATTATATCAGATGGAGGTCTATGTAAATGAACCATGTGCAGATTTGACATGTGGTGCAAATCACAGAAACACCAGAGCCGAAGGATCATGACAGGAATAAATCTGCCTATGTTAGGAGACGCCTTGTGTTCTTTGACATAACCCTTAATCCACACCCCAAATATAATTTCAACAAGGGTGTGCCATTAAAAAAACTTGAGATGTTTTAATTTTGCTTGTTGTAATGTCGGGGTAGGCCATTTCATTATGACTGACCCAGGGGAATCTAAGGTTACCATCTGGCCACTGGCCACCATTACTGATCCTTGTTTTAATATGCAAATGTATCTGTTTTTCCAACCTCGATATAATCACAAATGTAACCTGACTGAATGGACCAAACAACAGGACCATGTGCACATATGATAACGGACAGCCTTCATGCAGATGTGACTAAAATGAGCAGTCAGACAGAGAATGGCAGTAAACCAAAAGAAAAAGCAGCGCTCAGAGTCAGTTTGGGTACTACTGTTTTAAAATATCATGTTGTGAAAGAAATACTTCTCTAGGTTAGAACTCTGGACTCAAACTCAAGGTGTATTTTGAAATCCTTATTCATAATCGTCACAGAACAAACAACTACAAAACAAGCAGTATCCCATATTCCAGCGGTATAATTCAGATCTGTGGGCGTCTTTGGTGTTATGATCAGTGTGCAAAAACATCTTTCATGTCAAGTTGTTGAGTCTTGTTAGGTGTGAGTACAACGTTTTGAGCCAGAGTATCTCTCCGTTAGGTTGATATGAGTTGGTCGCCTTCCATGGAGGCCACCATGTTGTAATGTTTTCTACAGTAGCCCAGAACAGACAAACCTAACACTGGCTCTAGATCGTAGAACCTGTGAACCTTTAAGTACTCTGCAGCTTTTATATTATCACTATGTTGTGAGCCATGTTGCTCAGAATGATTGGTGATGGATTAAAGCACAAAGTAAACACAGATACACAGTAACTCTACCCTGCCTTGACTGCTGTGGCATCATGCAGAATATAGTTATTAGTTTTATGGAGGGAAACGTGTGCACTTCTAAAATAAACTTCCCTATTTGCTGTGTGAATTTATGAAAGCTGTGCCAAACAGTCCGAGCTAATGGTAGTTACTCAGAAAACTGCTGAGAGATGTTGATTCTGTGCCCCTTTGGGAGTAAATTCTCTTTTATGTTAGAAAGCCCTTGCTGGGCTCTATTAGAGAGGATCTCTTTCAGTTATGTGGCTGAATATGATCATAGCTATTAACAGTATGTGTATTAAAGTGTCAGAGTTTCATCCTTTGGTGGATGACTGAGCGTGGATGCAGCTGTCTCTTTGTGCAGGTCAGCTTCGAATCCAACAGTCAGGCCCAGCATTAAACATTGAATTATTGAAAGATTATGCATTTGCTGTTCCAGATACTCTGTTTTGGGCTTTGCTAATAAAATCCCCTCTGATGCAGAGAAGTTAGTGTGTGGAAAGTAGGAAGATGACAGAAAATTACGTGAGAGAGAGAGACAGGGAATGACATGCAAGGGTCCCTGATTGGATAAACAAACTGGAGATGTTACGATTCATGGCCAGTGCAACTGATGATCTTGATGATATATGTACACAGTATACTGCATATACAGCACATATATAAATATAAATGTCCTGTTTTCCACAGCGGAGCCCCTGGTGCAGGTGAATGGGAAGCCAAGTTGCTGCTTCTTCAAGTTCAGCCCCAAACTGATGTTCACCAAGGTGCTAAAGGCCCAGCTGTGGGTGTACCTGCGGCCGCTACAGCAGACCTCCACTGTCTACCTGCAGATCCTCCGACTGAAGCCCGTCACAGAGCAGGGCAGTCGCCACATCCGCATCCGCTCCCTGAAGATAGAGCTCAACTCCAGGGTCGGCCACTGGCAAAGTATTGACTTTAAGCACGTGTTGCAGAACTGGTTCAAACAGCCCCACACCAACTGGGGAATCGACATCAACGCCTTTGATGAGAGCGGCAATGACCTGGCGGTTACCTCGCTGCGACCTGGCGAGGAGGGGCTGGTAAGGACCCTCAGACCTGTCCCTGGGGCAGAAGAGGAATCATTACCATTGTAGTTCAGATTCATGCTAATGCAAATTGATATTTCTGTTGGATAAAGCTTGATTCAAAGAGAAATGTGGATCTGTATTGACACCTGAACTAATATTGAACAAATAATCATAGGGGAAAGGAATGGTGGCATTGATGTCATCTCCCTTTCTTTCTCTCCACATCTTTTCCTCATCTCTCTACTACTGTCAGCTCTTAAAAACATAAAATAGAAAAGAAAAGCAGCCGTCACTATCTAGAGAGGATGCAATACAGGCTGCTGTACCAATGTATACAACTTGATCTCTTTTCAAGTACTGTAAGTTATTAACATGGATGTTGCCCTACAATATTTGTGTGGCATCCTTTATGCTTTATATTTGTTTCAGAGCACATTTTGGAAAGTTCCCAACCATGCTCTGCTTCAGATTTGTGATTATTGTTTTTCTGCCTACCGGGCTGCCATTGTTAATTTCACCAGAGTATCACAATCAACTTGCAAACTTGCTTCAGACTTGCTCGTGTCAAGTGAAGTATCGCAGTAATCATGAGCAGATTGATTCTGAAATCTGTGCTACTTCAGCGCACACAGCAGAAATGAATTTGACAGTAAAGGATCGTTTATTTTAAGCAGTAAAATGAGTTGAAACCAGAGGCAGAAAGAAGGCAAACACATTCAGAAAAGTATTATGATATGATGTGAAAAAACACCAATGGTTTGCCTAATCTGAAACAATTTATCAGTTGTTAAAGAATTGAGTATTGACATTAATATTGACATGTAATACATCAAAAGCCATGTTTTGAACCAGAGCCAAAGCAGCTGGCAGCTACACTTTTTTAAAGGCACAAACGGCCTAAATCACTGTAAACAGCTTCCCTCTGACTTGTGTCACAGGTTCAAACACAGACATTTAACAAACATTTGTCATAATGGTTGCAGGAGACTTTTGAAGGCTGTTTACATGTTGGACCACAGGAAGAGCTTTATTTAAAGTTGTGGTTGATTCTGCATTTCACCATATTACCAATTGGTGGATTTAGACTTAAAATCAGAATCAGAATCAGAATTATGTTTATTGCCAAGTACGTTTTTACACCTACGAGGAATGTGTCCTGGTGCAATTGGTGCATAAAATATACAAATACAAATATACAAAAAACACAAAAATCACACAGAAAAATAAAGTACTTTCAAAATATGAATAGATAAAGCTAAGAAAGATAATAAAAGAAAACTGTGCAGAAGACAGGGTTGCATTAATGTAATGAAATTGGAGCTTTATGAACCAGTTATGTATCGAAGCATCACATGTATTTTCGACCCTGAACACCATCACCACAGCACAACCACTGAACAGCCACTCTATATTTAGTTAATTCCAGAGAAAACACAGCTGCTTTGTTTGGATTAGCCTTCACCAAAGTCATCACCACATCCTCTGCTGCTAACCTCATCCTCATCTTCAAGTCTGCTGCTAACTAAGATCTGCATCACATGTATGATGCTAATAATGTGCAACTGAAATTATTATTATATTATAATATTATAATTATAATAAAGATCGTACTTTGCAATATGTGAATGGACCCTAACCCGGTATTCCTCTGAATACCTTGGACGTTCCTTTAAAGATTTGTGTATCAAGTTGAAGGGACAGTCTTGGGCCTCTGAGAATAGGATTCTTAAAATGTGTTGGGTTTATGTCTAATGTAATGGATGATGTTTGTTGACAAGGAGTTCAAACTTCAGTGTTGAAGAAAAAAAACATCTTTTAACAACCATAAATCTAGATAGAAATCTTGGTTACTGCGTTACATGCAACATCTATGTTGAATTATGTAGGCCACTCATCACAGTTAAGTAACACCAAATATTTACCAAGTGGTCATTTGGGTCAGATCTTCACAACACAAATCAAAGGTCAGCTCTGGTGTCTTGGCCAATAAATTGCTGCCCTCTGAGCACACAGCAGTGTGCAATATTATTCTTGAACAAAAAAAGGAAAAGATCAAAAACACAGGCAAGTGTACCAAAATAAAACAAAACACAACAAGCAAAGAAAGAGTCAAACTCTGCTTTTCCCTGATCCTCTGGGTCTTTTTTTCTGCAACAAAAGCCCTAAAGGCCAAGCTGACATGGTCTCACCCCAACGGCCTTTCAGCTTATTTCCTCTTTTGAATGCGTCACAAAAAACTGTGCTTGAGCCCAGCTGGAATCACTGTGGGGAGAGGAAGGCTTTGTAAAACAAACATGATGGAGTAAAATATTTGATCCGTTTGCTTTGCCCAAAGGTCAAGGTTATGGTAGCCTGCAGATGACCTCCTGGGTCAGGGATCAAACCGAGCATAGAGAGTCAGCCATCAAAGTTAGAAAAGCCTAGTTTCTATCAATGCTCTTTGAATCGGTGCTCAAATGGCACTTTGTGTTCCTGCTTTAAAAATGAAGAATGAATTAATATGTTTTTGTTAAATATCAGATGAGTGGGTTTTGAATTTTAAGCCGTTTTAATTCTTATTCTTTGTGCCTTTGGCTCCTTTCGGGCTGTTCGAGTATAAGACAATTACCACTGATAGAAATCCTTGAATAAATTACTATAAGAATGGCTAATCTCTATATATACAGTACATAATGTATTTGTATTTACATTAGTGAAGAAAGATGGAGGAGTTTGTATTATTAAGGATTGTACTACACTTTTAGAAACATGATAGACCACAGCAAACATTTGGTCATAAAACAGGAAAAGTACCGTTAGCTCAGTTCCCATCAGGCATCCCATTAAGCCAAACCAGTGAGCGCAATAACAGGTCCCTGAAACTGGCTCACATAAACGGAAGATAGTTGTCTTAATATTATCAGTTACACCTGTGATATTCCTGCTCTGACAATCCACAATGTCTGCTGTGAAAAGGGTCTAATATGTTGTCATTATTTACTTATCAGATCAGAATCTCACCATTCAGCTTGTGGGGCTGACTAGATGGCTCTGACTGTAATCATTCAGTTTTTACTGTGACAACAGTGTTGTTTTCTCTGGTCTCTGGAGTAGTACAATGGTTTTTATATAATCTAAAATAAATGTATCTTGTGTCAGGTGAATGCAGTTAACCACCAGTGTATTACCAGTATCAGAAATACCTCCTATACAGCCCAAAATGCTGGATTGGTTATCACTGAATATGAGTCTATGCACCGATCCAACATCACGTATTTATGAGCGTAGAAACAGGACCCTGCAACTTCCCAGTATTTCTGCCATTTCTTTTCCCACAATAGAAATGTCTTACCCTGATATTCTTACCCTAACCAATCTCACTCCTCATGCCTAAACCTAACAAAGTCAAACCAACAAAGGCAACGAGAACCAGCCAATCAGAGTCCGAGTAGGGCTGGTCACGTGCGCTGTGCTGCCACTGGAAACTACTGTTTTACACACAGTAGTTTATAGAGTATTAGAGTACAAGTGCTTATTAGTTGAGATCCAACGGCCGTTCACTGTGGTAAAAGTTTTGTTGTTGGTTTAGGCACAAAAAACATCTATGTATATAATCTGTTAAACATACAGACAAAGCAAAACAGCTGAAATGTTACAAATACTCTATTTATAAATAAACTATCTGTAGGCGGATTATCCAAATATAGTGTCACTAGGGTTTAACCTGAGTCAGGCCCCCCATACAACAGTGATGATTTTTTTTAAGGCACTTCTATTGCATCAGTTGTATCGTCCAATACGCAAACTTCAGACCTGGTGAGGTATGGAAAGAAAGGTTTCTGAACATCTCTAGTTGACTTTTAATTCTCCTTTTTCACAGCAGACATGATGACTTGTTGTAATGTGAAAAGTAAAGGTGTCACTAATATCATTATCAATGGCTCTGTTCTATTCAAGTGTCAAAATGTTTCCAGTGAAAGAAGCTGATTGGGCTGTTGTTGTAATGGTTTATAGTCGATCATCAGTTTGTGTTTTAGTGTTGCAAAAATCCTTCATTTTGTACCTGGATTATATTTGATTTATTGGTGTAATTCACCAGGAATTATTCCTACACCTGTTGAAAGAACGGTCAAAACTCACCACACATATCTGACTACAGCTATTTAGGTTTTTTTTATATTGTTTGCTGACCATTGACATTAAAACTGTGTTTTCATCTTTAGCATATCCTCCTGCAGAGGTGGTGTGATTTGCTTTATTGGCAGATGTAAAAGTGAGACTAAGAGGTAGCGCTGCTTGAAGAAGTTCAATCTTTAGAGAAATGGTGCTTTTCAAAAAGTTTTTATAGAAGTTGGTGTCTATAAGTGATCAAACAAGCGCAAAGTCTTAAACCTTAAATATCCTGCCATCATCAGTCTGGGTGTTGTATGGCTCCAAATAAGACAAGACATAGTAAAATGTGACAATATAAACACAATGGCCTGACATGTTGCCTCTTTTTTAATGTCTTGAAGCTGATGTTTACCAACGGAGTAACTATAATCACATTTATTCAGATTTACATACATTTATATTTAGTGATGTTTTTTATTCTTTTGTAGTGTTTGCTGTCTTGGATAGTTTCTGTCCTGAAGTTACAGCATTAGGATACTTTCTATTCACTTTGTAGCCGTTTTTATCTACACTTTTTAAATTGATTTATTGATTGTATTTATTTCTAACACAGAGCTACTGATGTATTAGAAGTTCAGTTTGTATTAGATGAGTTTTAGGATTAGTTTGTAAGAAAAACTAATTCCATATGCATCCTCCCCAGTTGAATAAAGCTCTTTGTCCTGATCAACAGATATATAGATATATACACATTACACTGATGCCATCAAACAGTCTAAGACCTATAGTGTAATAAATTGAAGGAACAGTTCAGCAGTTTGGGAAATACACATATTCGCTGTCTTGCTGAGACTTACATCAGAAGATCAATACAACCCTCGAGTAGCCTATATAGCTAAATCCAGGAAGCAGTTAGCTTAGCATTAGCATCCAAGACTGAAAACAGGAAAACAGCTAGCCTGGCTATGTTCAAAAATACGCTTACCAGCAGCTTTAAAGCTCACTGTTTAACACGTTGTATCTCGTTTGTTGAATCTGTACACAAACAACAGTAACACAAAGAGAGCATTGTAGTTGCACTGTATTGCATCTTTTTGATAAGTTACACTTAACACACATTGTCGTTCTCGATGGCAGGGAGGCAACTGTAGTGATCAGTGATCTGTAGTGATCAAACTCTTTTCCAGAGGTTTTACAGACAGTTGACGGTTAACGATTGCACTGAAAATAGAAATATAGAATACATAATGTGGTTTATCAAAATACATTTACATTCTTTTATTGAACTTCTAGTATCATTATTTTAGGAATTATACACAACAGATATTTTTTTAATCCCCATTTGAGAAGCACTGCTGTAGATGTTTATAATTTCATTGGACAGATTTGTCAGCCATGTTGTTGTTCTCTTATAACCACCTCTTTCTCTCTGTCCTGCCCCTCCTCCCCCTGATTCCAGCAGCCGTTCCTGGAAGTGAAGGTTCTCGAGACGACCAAACGTTCTCGGAGAAACCTCGGCCTGGACTGCGACGAGCACTCCACCGAGTCCCGCTGCTGTCGCTACCCTCTGACTGTGGATTTCGAGGCGTTCGGCTGGGACTGGATCATTGCCCCCAAACGCTATAAAGCCAACTATTGCTCTGGCCAGTGCGAGTACATGTTCATGCAGAAATACCCGCACACCCACTTAGTGCAGCACGCCAACCCCCGAGGCTCTGCAGGGCCCTGCTGTACTCCCACCAAGATGTCCCCCATTAACATGCTCTACTTCAATGACAAGCAGCAGATCATTCACGGCAAAATCCCAGGGATGGTGGTGGATAGATGTGGCTGCTCTTAGGCTGCAGGGGAGACGCACACTTGTGTACAGCCACCATCGCATCAAACCACCCAAAACCCTTACGGAGCTCTCCCCTGGCACCAGAACCCACTCCTCGGCACCAGATTTCACTTTTGCTCAGCCACAAAAATCATCCCACTGGGTTTCCATTTTTCCAGTAATTAAATTGATTCTAACTGTAAAGAAAAAAAAGATATAAATGAAACATGAATCAAAAAAAAAGGACTGAGTGATGGAAATACAGTACATTATGAATGATTTAAAGAGGTTGTCCATGTGGAGCAGCTTCAGAAAACGGTAAATGAGACAAAACTATGTTATAGAGTATGTGTTAGTTTTGTGGGTTTTTAAAGATTTTGTTTTTAAACGGCATCTTTGTGAAATGTCCAGGTTAGTGGATTGAGATGACAGGAGACATTAAGCATTTACAATATTTTTAAAGCAATTTCAGTCCTAAGGTGAGTTTGAAAATACTTAATTTCACAGATACACTTACTTACGGGTGAGATTTGATCCACAAAAATGTTTGCAAGGGGGCATGATCAGAATTATTTTGCAATCCATCACTTTAACAAAAAGAACAAAATCCATGCTAATGTGAGGAGGGTTTACCGTTAGAAATACTCTTATAGTATAAATCCAAAATCTTGTTTACAGATGTTTAGAGATGTGCTCTGGAGATGTAAAGTGTTGAGGAGATCCAAAACCAAACCTATACCCTCTATTAATGTATAACACCCCAGTGTGACATTCTCGAGTATCTACGAAACCTTTCACAGTTACTTTGATCTTTTTTTATTTGTAGTCTTGTAAAACTCAAAAAAGGAAAAAAGAGAGAGAAGAGGTTATACTATTTTAACTCTACCTTTCAAAGCAGATAAATAAAGCCAGTACAGCTATTTCTGCCATTCTGAAAAAGTAGATACATATACAGATTTAGGTTTCAATTGCACACTAAAGTCTAAAACAGTACTGTAATGTAGATGCACTCTGAAGTCATTCGGCACCGCCTGGGAGAGGAGGAGGAGCAGGGTCCTGCAGGATGACAAGAACCTGACAGATTTCCTTTCTTCTGTGCAACAAGGGAAAATACACTTTAACACCTTCAACTTTTGCATTAAATGTTTAAAACAGAGACGTAAATGCACTGTTTCATAACTTGAAGAGGCCTGGGACTGAGCATGTAATAACAAACAGAAAGCAAAATCCATACCCTGAAATGAAACACACAAGGGTGTCAGTATGCTCAAATGTTCACCCTCCTGTAACCTTAATGATTTACTGAGCTGAAAATAGCACAAAACATGATTTTACAGCATTTTCACAAGACGTTTACACACATACTTCCAGCACGCATCTGTGTTTAAAAACAAGTACGCGTAAATTAAGAAAGAGCAGTACCTTCATTACTCATGTAGAGCCAGTTCGTTCACTTGTTCTCAATACTAGTTTCAGAAAAGATAAAAATAAAAATGCAAAATCCTTTAACTGCAGTACTGTACTCAGACGTAATAGCTTTTTATAAATGACAACAAACCACATAACGCGCAAATAAAATAAAAAAAATCAAAAGAATGTAACTCAACCACTGATTTTAGTTTAGAGAACATATTTGATTGCGTTTTGAAATGCCCCCATCCACCTCCACCTCAACTGTACCGTTGTGATCATAATGGAGAAAATATTGTTAGTGCTTGAACACAGAGTAGATTAGTACGCTTGAAGTCTGTCTTTGTCTCCTGGATGTCAAAGCAAAGATATCCTTTTGTTGTAAACGAAAGCACTATGCTGTTGGATAAAGGAAGAGCCTTCTGACATTATATATAAATGATATATGTATATATTAAAGAAAAGGGGTACAAAAACCTTTTTTGGGGCACTCTACCTTACCAACAATAAATTTTGCACTATGGGACGTTCATGGCGTGAGGAGGTAAAGTGTTGTTTGTGTTTTACCAAGCACAAGAGAGCTTGTACAGTATAGGATTAAAAAAAAAAAAAAAAAAACTATTCAAGCTTCTGGTGATCAACCATAAACTAGAGAGGTTATCACTCCTTTTTGATACCATCACGCTTTCCTGACTTTTGTCCGAAGCGGGGGCCTGTCCATACACTCACACACTTCTATCCAATCTGGAACCTGGACGTACTGTACCAGCGGCCTGAAAGGCCTCCTTGCCCACTTTGGGTGATAAGTCATGTGTATAAGTATAAGTGTCTGGATCAATGAACATAGAATGCTTTAACTGGAAATGGTCCGCCCACCAACTTTAATCTGTTACCATGTTAGAGAGACTACGTCCTTTTGACTTAAACAATGTGTCGACTGTCTTGCGTAGACATGTTTTTGCCTTTGTGTGTATTTTAAGTGAAAGCACCCATGTAAGAATGGGAGGAGTATCCAGGGATTGTTAGCCAAAGTAGAGGATGACATGTTGTGTGCTGTAACTTTTGTGATTGCAGGAATATGCTAGAACATTTCAAAGGGAGGAAAAAGCTGGTTTAGGGGCAGTGGTTGGAAATAATTCAACTGATCAATTGTCTATTTATTAATATTAATTACAATGCATTTCAAAGTCTGTCTACCTCACTTTAGCCCTCTAAAAAACCTTGCTTTTTTTAATTTGTCATCGATTAATCTGTGCAAACATTTAACCCATAAGAATCCCCCACCCCACCCCACCCCCCCAAAAAATGTAGATGAAAACCACAGGGTCCCCTTGCTCTCAGGTTCAGATTGAGTTATTGACAGAGTGACTGATGGTAGCGGCTCTGGTAATGTGTGGTAAAAAGAAATAATTAGCTGTGCCCACATCTATGGCTTGTTGAGAAGTTGCATTTTGAATTTTAGTATTTGTATACTGGTATGTGTGAGAGTGTTTTCATATAAATATATGAGAGTAAGAAATCTCTATGTAAATACCTACCCAAATGTTGACATTTATGATGTTTTGGACAGGTTCACCGCTTCTAAAGTTTTTCTCACTTTCCCCCTTCATTCCTCCGTTCTTTGTGTAGTTTAAAGAAAATCACCCCAACTTTGTAGTTTAATGGTTGTGCATATGAATAACTGTTCAATTGTTATTTTTGCCTTTTGTTGTTTATTTACTGTCATTTTTCTTTTGTACAATAAATCATTTATTTAGCTTATGGGATTTGTTGTTTATTTACTGAGTCTGGTGTTTATATCCATCGGTTTATAAGTGTGTAAAGTCCTTCTTACGTTAGTAATCAACAATGGATCACATCACTATTTGTATGTTAAGTGGTCGCTTGTAGTGATGAACTGAGACATGTATCACCTGTTTCTACAGTTGCCCACAGCTTTGTGAAGCTTTCTGCCATATTTAGGTAACTGGTTTATGTGGTGCAATCCATTTGAATTTATGAATGCGTAAATCTCCACTTAGTAAACAGTCAGAACCAGACTAAATAGGAACTCATGAACAGCTGCCACAACTAATTACTAGTTTTTTTTTGTCAGTTAAGTGTGCAGTTGTGTTTTCTGTAAATTATATTCTATCCACATTACTGGTGTCTTAAAACAGCAAAAACAATTAATGGGAGAGAAATTATTGAAACTAAAGGAATTATTAATTTATTGTTTTGTTGCCCTAAAAGTATTCAAATTAAAACATATTGAGTCAGTGGAATCACTTTATAAAATAACCAAGAGAATGTAAAGTCCCCCTTAGATTGAGCTCACACCTTGTGGAGCACACACACACACACACACACACACACACACACACACACACACACACACACACACACACACACACACACTCACAGAAAACACCCACACCCACACACACTTTCTTAAAGGTGGCATCCTGATTCTTGGAAAACAGTAACGTGCAGCAGAGGTGGCAGGAAGCAGATTCATCGCGAGGCTAATTGGTGAAAGAGAGCGTTCAGGGGACAAAGGTTTAGTGTTGGGGTTTGGGTTGCCATTATTTGGATGTCATATAAGATCCAGCCTGACCCAATTAATATGCCACCTGATAGGAGGGCCTCTCATCAACCTAATTTAGAGAATCAATAGGGGACAAATGAGAGTGAGAACGAAGCTCTTTACGGATGCAAACAGACAAAGACCACCCAGTACAAGCTCGAGGAGACTGATGCCAGCAATGACATAAACCTTTTGACAAATCCTCACTTGACATAAACAAACATTCACACAGTCCCCTGCCCCTCAAGTGCATCAATGTGCCGTACACATCATCAGTCATACCCGCCCTACATAGACAAGGGAGGACATTGATGGATGTTTTTATTGTTTTGGCACATAAGGAGTAGTTGTACAAATAGGACATGAAGTGTTAAAGGCTCAATGCAGCACCCAAAGCCTTAAGACTACTAACATGATGTACTCTGACCCAGCTTCATTGAATTAAAAATAAACTATGCCATGGTGGCACTTGTGGAAGGAAAAAAAGTACAGTACAATGGGAATATTGAACATGTTACAAAGCCCTCAAGAAAGGCCAGTGGGGGCTGGGAGGATTTGGGAGGAGCTTTATGGCAATTATAGCCATAAAGTTAAGAAAGAAGGTGAATTGGGGGCAGCTCTCAATAGCTTAAATTGCTGGACACAGTCATCAGTAACACCTTTTTGTCTGGCCCTGTGACTGGCCGGTATTTAGAGAGGGGAACTGTTCAGGGAAGATCACACACACTCTTATGGGATGAAAGAATCTCACATGACAATAAAATAAACTGTGGAGACACAAGATTTGAGTCAGGACAAGTTGACGCAGCCGGACAAAGCTTATGAAATACTTAAACCATCAACAGGGAACAAGAGTGGACTGAAGTGGGTTATTGTTGCTCCTTGAATTTGTATTTGCGCTCCATTGTAATTCAAAATTATTATAAATATTTTTAGATTTTATTGTCAGAACAAACTCTAATTAACTCCACCTTCTGAAAGTGGATATAAAATTGTGTTTTGGGGGAATAATTACCTATAAACATAAACATAAAAAAAAAATGTAAACTGTTGTTTAAACATGGATGTATTGTCTCACAGTACTGTCATACTGTCAGATAACTCACATAAGCCCTGTATGACTGATACACTGACTTTTTCTTTTATGTTGTTGTCTGTTTTAGATTTATTTTCCCTGTCGTCTTTATATTATGAATTAGTTGTTTTATTGATATGCTTTTTGTCTGTAATTACGTAAGAAAAATGTCCTTGTTACATGATGTTGTGACAGCAGTGGCAGAAGCATCTTTAGCACCAGAAATAGGTTTTTGTTAACTGTAGTAGCACAAATGCTCTAACTAGTTGTATTGTACTAAATGCTAGTTAATATTGGCATTAACTATAGTAGCACAACTTCAGCATTGTCTCCGCTAAATCTTCTAAAAATGCTGTAACATTTGACTGTGATCTCTGGAAGGAAATTTTACTTTGAGACAATCTTTGAAGAAATCTGCATGTTATTCCATTTTATTTTGTTTCCCTTCCTGCACAACTATCAGTCTTTACATTAATCCAGTTCAAGGCAGTGGTTCAGTGTCTGTGCTCTCATGTCACTGTGTCATGTCATGCTCACCATCTGGTTTGAAGCTGACAATTGCTGGCTCTGGCATAGATGGTGATGAGGTGCAGTCTAGTGGACACTCCTTCGTGCCTTGCCGGGGCTTGTTGCTGCACCGTCCCACAGATCTGAGAGTATACCTGGGGACAGGATGACCACCCCTACCCTGGAGGATTTCCTTTCTAACAGTCAGACCCAAAAAGGAAGCAACAAAGGTGTTAATTACACTCACGTCTGTGCATCCTTCGGGTGTTTGACAATTTCTGTGCAGTGGGGCCTTTTTATTCTGATTAATGCAACAATAAACTTTAAAGTTTTAACAGTATTCCAACCGATGTCTCGATAGATGGATAATAGTGCTGAATAAACAGGTTGATTTCAAAATAAGTTTACTCTACCTCTCTACTTGAACCTGAAAATAGTTCAAAGGTACATGTAAGGAGGACATAAGGACATAAAGGAGCAGAAACAAATCTTCTAACTTACGTCTTAATGTGACAATAATGTCAGTGACAGGAACGTTTAATAATAATAAACATGCAAATGCTAAAAAGTGCTAAAGGAGTTTTAAAAAGTAATAAAAATATTTCTGTTTCTTTGCTACAAGAGAGAGGGGTCTATTTGAAAGTGGCATACAATTATCTTATTTATATCCATAATGTAAAGTAGATTAAGACATAATCTTACAAGAGTGTCACAATGCATGAAATGTAAAACCCACAAGGACCTCAAGTTGTAATAAAATTTAAAAATCAAACCACAAAAGTTTTAGAAGAGGACATCTCAATGAGCAAAACATGAACCAACAAATCTTTCATGCCGTAGAGTAAAATGTGAGGAATGAATTCACACAATGAGTTCCCACAGGTACAGATCACCCTAATGATGACTGAAAACATGAAACACCAGCTTCTCCTCTGCCAATACACAGCAATCTGCACATTCCGTCCACTTATTTTGAATGCTCCTCACAGCAGTGTGTGATTACTTGAAAGTCAGTCGGACATCTCTCTTTTGGCAACAACAGGAATCAGCCCAAGAGCGAAAAACAAAACCTTTTGTCCCACGCTGTCGTCCTGCAGTCCTGGTAATAATCCTAAATCTGCCTTGTTTTTGGAACAACATCTGCCATCTGTAGCACGACTGTAACTGCATATTAAAACACAGAGTAACACATGCAGTGCTTTTAATATTAATGACATCATAAGGTAAACCATAAGGGGGGGGGGGGGGGTCAAACAATGCAGACACAGGAATCAAACTCAATAAATACATCAGGATGGTCTTCTTCTATAATGCTGTTGGTTCTTCTCTTGGGTCGTTTCAGATCTAATTCATTGGGGTGATATAATGAAAAACGGGAAGGTTATATGAGGACACAGCTGCACTCCCTCTCGATCAAGTCATTCTCAACCCCCCTTCACACACTCATCCATATTGTGCAAGAAAATGAGAAAACAAACAAATAGAAACAATTTTCTGTTTGTTCTGTGATTAATGCACTTCAGTCCCATATACACCTTGAGGAACTGAGGAATGATGAGCTTACATCACACTGCAGAGAGTTTGTATGTTATTATACTTTATATATATGCAATATATATAGTATATATTTATATATACATGTATATAATTTAAATTCATATATGTTTGTCAAGTTTATTTTGCATAATTTCAGACTGAATTTGAGTAATTAATTGCTAAAGGCCTTCACAAAATTCAAAGTATTTATTTTAATGTAAATATTTTATTTCACATTCTCATTTAGATTCTCTCTTTTAAAGTCTGTTGTTTTTCTTAATACATGTAAAGGACTTTCAAATCGTCTTAAGTATATGAATTGTGCTGTGTAAATACATTTGCCTTTGCCCCTAAATGTCAGCGGTCAGCAGAATAAAAATTCATGTACATTGGAGGATGGAGAGAGGATGAGTGAAAGGATAAAAAACAGTGAAGAAGAACTGAAAGATTGAGGAGAAATGCTGCTCTGCTCAAAAATAAAGTTAATATTTGTGTTCTGTCTCACGAGCCTTGCAGATTTTAATCCCAGCATTGCCGATTTTTGGGGTTTACTGAAATGTGGCAGCAAAAACAGCAATAACGAGTTGTCAAAATATAGAAAACTTGGGGCAGAGATGCAGCTGGTTACAGTGCTGGCCAATAAAAAAGGGGTTGTGGATTTCTTTGAGGCCTGAGCAGTCAGTGAAAGGCACTGTGGGGTCTCCATAGTTCACATGGCAAACTCTCAAACACCCACGGGGGGGTTGCCCTCCCTCCCTCCCCTGTCATGCCTTAACTGAGGCTAGTGTTGACACAGTGCTGGCCAATCTAATTTTGATTGTCAGGAGCAAGGAATGGTGATCCTCCCCCCGCCCCCCTGAGATCATCAAGTTCATTTCTCTGGCTGCATAGGGATTTTTTTCCTTTCGGCCCCCCCTCCATCTCCCCATCTCCCCACCACTAGAACAATATTCAGCCGTTCCTGGGCCTCTCAGAGTGAGCTCACTGGAGTTAATCTCTCAGGCCTCTCTCCTCTCTATTGCTGCCTCTCTCTCACTCGCACTCTCTCCCTCTCTTTCTATTCAAAAAGCCATTCGA